GTAGAATTTCAATTACATACATATTGTATAGTTTTTTGCAATTTTAATAACTTATTTCCCAACCAAATCACACAGCTTTTTTGCAATTTCATCAAATTATTTTCCAACCAATGAAGTCCCCTTGAAAAGCAACAATTTCTTCTTGAAATCATGAATTAATTTGAGTCTGATGTATCCAAAGTTTATGAGAATCATCATACCAACGTTCAACAAAGTCTTGTGATAGAACAGATTTTTGAAGCACCACACCAGCGGTAGTAGCTGTAGCAACTAAAGAAATGAGTCCCAAAACAGCAGCGATAATCAGTCCAATCATGCGTTTGCCTCGCCATAGCAGTCTTTAGAAAAATCTCAGAATTAGTCCCTGAACAGGACTGCTTTCCCAGGAGCGATGCATTTTCACAGGAGTCCATAAAGAATTTCGTTGACTTAAAATCATGACTGATTCAAAAGACGGATTAAAAGCTATAGAGTTATTAAGACAAGTATACAAATGACAATTTGACAGGTTTATGTGTCCTATCAATATCACTAGAGGGAAGTGCACGCAAGCTATAACAATGTAATTTTTAACTTTAGTAAAATCATAAAATACTTTACCATAAGTAGTAGCAGAAGTGCCATCAAAAATTTCTACAGGCTTAAGAGCAGCTAACAATTTGCAAATATGTAATTGAAGAGAATATAATGTCCTATTCTCATTTGAGGTCAAGGATTAGCTATTCCTCCATCTACTCAAACTATAGGATTAGCAGTATGAAACTTTATCTCTCATAGGACCAATATTTTTTAAATTACACTTTGAGGTAAACTCCTTATCCCTACATTCTTCTAACCAACTTCCTAGAGGACCCCAAAAATAAGAAAGGGGGAAATGTTGGGAGCTATTATTATGGGCACATAATATGCCAGGCATATTGTTTCTTTGTTGTTTTCTTTCATTTGTTTTTTGAGATAGGGTCTTCCTGTATCCCTAGCTAGCCTGGCACTTCCTATGTAGACCAGGCTGGCCTTGACCTTACAGGCCTCCAGCATCCTTGGATTAAAGGTGTGTACCACCATGCCCAGCTATTTTTATTTATTTATTTTAATGAATTAACTAATTTTTATTAGTATTTGAGTGTTTGCCTGCATGTTATATAAGTGCACCCATGTATGCAATCCCTATGGAGGTCAGAAGAGGGCATCAGATCCCCTGAACTGGAGTTACAGATGGTTGTTAGCCACCACATGAGTGCTGGGAACCAAATCCAGGTCCTCTGCAAGAATCAGGCAAATTCTCTGAGCCATCTGTCCAGCCCCAGGCTATTATTCTTTTTTAGTCTTTGGATAATGCCAAGCTCTTTCTCTGCCACCTGGAATGACCACTAGTCTACTCTGCCTCACCCCACTTAGTTATATTATTTGCATATGAATATATATGTTTGTCTACATTCATATATGTATATATTCTTCCACTGAGCTGTTGCCCAGGTTCATTTTTATTTTGAGACAGGATCTCACTAAATTGCCTAGGCTGGCCTTAAATTCAAGATCTTCTTGCCTTAGCCTCCTGAGTAGCTGGGATTATAGGCCTATGCCACTTCACTCTGTCCCACTTATATGTCTACTGAAATGTTACTTCAGAGGGCTTCCAAGAAACTGGCATGATGGTGGCACATGCTTTTAATCCCAGCAATTGGGAGGCTGAGGCAGGTGAGTCTCTGAATTCAAGGCCAACCTGGTCTACAAACTGAGACACTGTCTCAACCTCCCACCCCCCATCCCCCCCAAATCAAACCAACAAACAGAAACAAAGAGCTTTCAAGGATACTTATCTAAAGGAGACCCTAATTACAGCAGTCCTCACACACATTTGTTTTCTAGCATTTTTAAAAAATTTTATTTATGGGGCTGGAGAGATTGCTCATTGGTTAAGAACACTGACCGTTTTTGCAAAAGACACGGGTTCAAATCCCAGCACCCACATGGCAGCTAACAACTGTCTGTAACTCCAGTTCCAGGGGCTCTGATAGCCTCTTCTGTCCTCCGCAGGCATTGCACAACACGGGTGCACTATTACATACAGGCAATATACTCATACACATAAAAATAATTTTTAAAAAATAATTTATTTATAGCCAGGCGTGGTGGTGCATGCCTTTAATCCCAGCACTTGGGAGGCAGAGGCAGGCGGATCTTTGTGAGTTTGAGGCCAGCCTGGTCTACATAGTGAGTTCCAGGACAGCTGGGGCTACAAGGAGACGCTGTCTCAAAAAAGAAAAAAAAAAATTATATTTTTGGGGTCTTTTTGAGACAGAGTCTCCTTGTAGCCACAGTTGGCCTGGAACTCACTATGTAGGCCAGGCTGGCCTCGAACTCACAGAGATCCATCTGTCTATACCTCCTAAGTGCTGGGACTAAAGGCATGTGCCACCACGCCTGGCTTTCTAGCACTTTTTACAAAAGATTGATTTATGTGTGTGTGTATGTGTGTATGTGTGTATGTGTGTGTATGCATGCACATGTATGTGTGTGTGCATATGTGTGCCACAGTGAGGAGTTGAGGTCAGAAGATAGTTTTGTGGAGCTAGCTTTCTCCTTCTACCTTTAGGTAGGCTCTGAGAATAAGTGTCCTCAGAGTCCCGAAGAGGGCATTGGATTCCTTGGGGCTGGAATTAAGGCAGTTTTGAGCCATCCCCACAGTGCTGGGAACAGAACTCGGGTCCTCTGAAAGAGCAGTACAAGCTCTTAACTGCTGAGCCATCCTTCCAGTCCCTTAGCACTTTTTTGAATTCTTAACTACAGTGTAATCTTTCTAAGGTTCATATTTATTCTATTCACCATGATATCCATAGTGACTGACACACAGTTAAGCACAGAAGAAGAGCTCGGTAAGGATGGAGACTAATAGTGGTTGAATAGTAGTATAAAATCATTATTCAGCCAAGCATGGTGGTACACACCTTTAGTCCCAGCACTCGGGAGGCAGAGGCAGACGGATCTCTGTGATTTTGAGGAGGCCAACCTGGTCTACAAAGTGAGTTTCAAGCTAGCTGGGGCTACAGGGAGACCTGTCTCAAAAAGACCAAAAAAAATTTTTTTTTGTTATTCAGTAATCTCATTAGAGAAAAGTTAGAAATAATTATAGCAGGCATCTGTACATAGTCACCTCACCTCAAACAGTCAACACTCTGCTTAACTAGACATACTTTATACATACCTGCTGAGATGATGATTAGAAGTAAAGAAGGGAGCAACAGTTCTGACAGAGCCACCAGATTCCAGATCCAAGAGTGAGACCTAATTTCAGGTCTCATTGGTATGGACCAAGAATCAAACAACCTCTTTGAGTCCTACTGTAAAAACAACTTGGGTGTATAAGATGAGCTGAATAATAGATGGAGAGTGTGCTAGCAAGCTTAGGGCAGTAGTGTATTGTAATACTTGACTACACTAGAGATAACTTTTATGCCAGAAGCTTCTGACCACATTGTACGCTGTTGCATATTAGTTTTCTTTATGCTGCTTAAGAAGTTTATTTTTCTGAATCTATGCCTGTGCTTTCAGCCATATTCTAAAATTGCAAACTCTTCTAAAATAAGATTGCTTTTTATAATACTGTGTAGTTTGTGCTTAATTTTTGTCTAAAATCTGGTAAATTTTGTCTTTTAGGTACCTAGCTTCCTGTGGTATACTGATGAGCAGAGCTCTTCCATTACATACCTCAGTTTTGCCTAAAGAGATATATGCAAGAACGTTCTTCAAGATCACTGCACCATTAATAAACAAAAGAAAAGAATATTCAGAGAGAAGAATTATAGGGTTTGTATATAATAGTAATTTTATTAAAGGAGCACATTCACAATTTTCTGTATAGGGTATCATGCCTGCCTCCTTCCCTCTGGATTATTTTCTTACAGATCTAATTGATTTTTTTAGGTTAGCCTTCCCACAGCCCTTGCTGTTTTATAAATCTTGTTAATGAATATAGTGGTATATTGGCTGTATATGATAGATGTCAACCTTTAGATTCAAAGCAGGCACATGCTACCGTTGCTCACTTGTCTTATGAGCAAGAACAGTCTGTATCTAGCTTTCATTAAGGTTGCCTTCTCTATATATCAATAGACAGGTTTTTTGTTTGTTTGTTTAGTTTTTTTTTTTTGAGATGGGATCTCCCTGTAGCCCGCAGCTGGCCTGGAACTCACTGTTTAGACCTTGCTGACCTTGAACACACAGAGATCACCTGCCTCTGCTTCCTGAGTGCTGGGATTAAAGGCATGCACCACTACGCCTGGCTCAGTTTTTTGTTTTTTTTTTGTTTTTTTTTTTAAGACAGGGTCTCACCCTTTAGCCCTGACTGGCCTGGAATTCTTCTATGTAGACCAAGTTGGACTTGAAATCACAGAGAGCCACCTGTCTCTGCCTCCTAGTTGCTGGGATTAGAGGTGTACGCCACAACACCCTGCTCCTTTTAGTTTTTTTATACAGATGTTCTTTTTCTTTGGTGGCTGGGTCTTGTTGACTTAGAATTCTCACTGCCTCCATTTCCACAGAGCTGGAATTGCAAGCAAGCAAGCACTCCTATACCTAGTGAATCTCCACTTTAAAATGTTGACAAGTAATTAAAAATTGAAGAACTACCCATGAGCTTTTAAATGGTAACCTCTGCTATGTAGTCCATTTAGAGCCCTTTTGCTTTCTGTGTTGATTTTCGCTCACTCATTCCATCATGTGGTTCAATAAGTGTGCCAAATTTTTTGTGAATCCGCTTATTTATGTTCAATTTAAAGTGCATATTATAGAATTAGTTGTTAACACTGTTTATCTCTCTTTTAGATACTCAATGCAAGAAATGTATGATGTGGTATCAGGAATGGAGGATTACAAGCATTTTGTTCCTTGGTGCAAAAAATCAGACATAATATCAAAGAGATCCGGATATTGTAAAACACAACTAGAAGTTGGCTTTCCACCTGTTTTGGAGCGATATACATCAGTAGTAACCTTGGTAAAACCACATTTGGTAAAGGTAAAAGTTTTGTTTTTGTTTTTAAATATTCCTTGTTTTTATCATATTAAATGAGTTAAATAACATGTAAAAGTTTAAAAATTTGTTTTTTGGGTTTTTTTTTTTTGTCTTTTTGAGACAGGGTCTCCCTGAAGTCCCAGCTGACCTGAACTCACTATGTAGACCAGGCTGGCCTTGAGCTCACAGCGATCTGCCTGCCTCTGCCTCTGCCTCCCAAGCTCTGGGATTAAAGGTGTGCACCACCACACTTGGCTTAAAAATTTGTTTTTAATAAGAGGAGATGGAGACATGAGCCATTTATTGTATTTTCTGTGGTTTTTTTTTTTGAGTTTGCATAAGTTTATTTTTTTTTCAAGACATATATAGACAATAAAAAAGTAAATATTTAACAGATCTCAGCCACCCTAGAAAGCGCTCCATTAAGTCTCTAAAGTAATCGTCATCTTCATCAGAGTCCATTACTTTTCTTCTGTTGAATTTAACTCTGGTTTTCTTTTCTGTTTGTTGGCTTACTTTCTCAAGTATGTCTATTAAACCTTGTTCTGATACCTTCCCACCTAATTGTCCATATCATGCCATCTGTATTAGGTAATTCTCTACTGCTTTAGTTTTTTTCAGGCTTTACAAGTGCTAAGTTACTTAACCTGGGCCAGGCTGACTGGTCCAGAACTTGGGCTAAGATACCGTTTCTCATTTCTACTTCCCTTTGTTTGGCCTCCTGCTGGGCTGCATCACCAGGATCCCCATGCTTGGCCTGCAGCCTCTGCTTCCTCAGCACCTCCAGATCCACCATGGTGTGGCCATTCAGCATTGCACAGCCACTGTGCAGCTGCTGCTGCCCTCGGGGGTCCGCAGTGAGGGAATCTCCTTGGGTCCTCGGCGCGAGCGCTAATTTTATATAACATTAACATTATTCTTTCCAAATAGAAATTTGAGTAGAATATGAAAATGGGAAAACTTTTTCTTTCCTCTTATTCTTCTGTTTATGACTACTGAATCAAAAGATAAAATCACTTGGCCCACATAAGTGGGAACTGCTTTAATCTTTGCACTATTTAAAAAATATATTAAAAATTGGGTGTGGTGGCACATCCTAACTTTCAATCCTAACTGTAAAGAGGCTGAAACAAGAGGATTGTGGATTTGAGGCCACCCTGGGTATAAAGTGAGACTGTCTCAAATAGCAAACAGCTGGGCATGGTGGCACTTGGGAAGCAAAGGCAGGCAGATCTTTGAGTTTGAGGTCAGCCTGGTCTACTATATAGGGAGTTCAGGCCAACCAGGACTACATAATAAGACTCTATCTCAAAGAAAAATAAAAAAATACACAACTGTATTTAATATTTTACCAAATTAAATTCTTAGCCAGCCCTTAATCCCAGCACATAGCTTTTTTATAATTTTTTTTTAATTTAATAACCACATGATTAGAAGAAGCATTTCATTACAGCTTTAACATATTCAGTAACACATTCCAGAGCAAGGATACATCTCTTTCAAAAGTGGCTGTAAATTTTTTTTTTTTTTTTGGTCTTTTTGAGACAGGGTCTTGCTGTAGTCCCAGCTGTCCTGGACCGTGTTATGTAGCCCAGGCTGGCTTTGACCTTACAGAGATCCACCTGCCTCTGCCTCCCGAGTGCTGGGATTAAAGGCGTGTGCCACCACACCCAGCGGCTATAAATTTTTAAGTTCATAGTTGAATTAATACAATTATACAATATTGAACTCATAAACCCTGTAAGACATAAAATTGAATGAGTTTTTACTCTTTAAAGAAGATCTCCATTTCATTTTAAAATAAGCTGTTTCCTACATTTTTAATGCTACTAACACTTAGATGTTTGCATATGTGTTTTTAATCTCTATGTATCTGATTATTACTAGTCACAGTCGGTCATACTCGGATCCTAAGTACCTGAGTATGGATATAAAATCATCAGGTAGATTTCACTGGTAATGTTTATCACTTTTACTATTTAACATGAAGTAAATTTTTATTCTTTCTCCTCAAATATGTTTTTTTTTTAATTTGTTAATTTTGTGTGTGTGTGTATCATACAGAACATCCCACACAATCTTATTCATCTATATACCATTTCCCAAATGGCACGCTCCCATAGCCTCTCCCCTCCCACATGCTGGAGCCCATATACTCTGTCATCCCTGTTACTGTCTATGTGTTGTTGGTACACCCAACTATTCCCCAGTGCATGTCCATCTGTTGAATCTAGTTAGCCTATCTAGATATCCTTGTTTTAGGAAGATCAGCTGTTCCTCATCTAGCAGCAATCAAAAAAATTTTATTTTATTTTATTTTATATGTACGTATTATTGCCTGCATGTAGGTAAGTGCACCCGTGTTGTGCAATGCCCTCAGAGGTCAGAAGAAGCTGTCAGATCCCCTGGGACTAGAGTTATGGAGAGTTGTTAGCTGCCATGTGGGTGCTGGGATTCAAACCCGGGTCTTCTGCAAGAAGAACCAGCGTTCTTAACCACTGAGCCATCTCTCCAGCTCCCCCATATTAAATTCTTTACCACTGAGGGAAAAATCAATTTGTTTAATAAATACCTATTTTTTAAAGTTAGAGAAGTGGTAAGACAATGAAGATAAAAGATGTAAATGTGCCGTGCATGGTGGCACATGCCTTTAATCCCAGCACTCAGAAGGCAGAGGCAAGCAGAAAAAGACAAAAAAAAAAGATGTAAATGTAAGGTATTAACATTATTAAGGTTATCCTTCCTTGAGCTAGGCACTGAGATCCTAGATACTGTTATTTTAGTCAGAGAGAGTGTTCATGCAGAAGATACCCAGCCTTAAACACAAAAAAGATGGCTTAGCAGGTAGATGTGCTTGCTCCAAAGTCTGATAAACTGAGTTTGATCCCCAGGACCCACATAGTGGAGAGAGGGGAGAGAACCCGTTCAAGTTTTTGTCTGACTGCCACATGTGTGCCAAACTCAAGCAAATGTAAAAATACCCCAAATCATAAAACATAAAAAAAGCAGACTTTTGTAGGATAATACTCATTTTTTTCAGATTCCTATTTTATAGTGATCAAAGACTTTTTGGTGGTAAAGAACTTTCCTATACTAAGCACATGCTCTACCAGTGAGTCTTCATCCTGACTCCCCTCCCCTCTTCTGTTTTTCAGAAGGTCTCACATCTAGCCTTCAACTTGCTGCTCACCTTGAACTCCTGATCCTTCTACTTCCCCTTCCCACATGCTGATATTACAGACATGTACCACCACAACTGTTTTTTGAGGTGCTGGGGCTGAATCCAGGGCTTCATGTATGGTAGACAAACATATCCAGGGCTTCATGTATGGTAGACAAATACATCCAGGGCTTCATGTATGGTAGACAAATACATCCAGGGCTTCATGTATGGTAGACAAACATATCCAGGGCTTCATGTATGGTAGACAAATACATCCAGGGCTTCATGTATGGTAGACAAACATATCCAGGGCTTCATGTATGGTAGACAAATACATCCAGGGCTTCATGTATGGTAGACAAACATATCCAGGGCTTCATGTATGGTAGACAAATACATCCAGGGCTTCATGTATGGTAGACAAACATATCCAGGGCTTCATGTATGGTAGACAAATACATCCAGGGCTTCATGTATGGTAGACAAACACATCCAGGGCTTCATGTATGGTAGACAAACATATCCAGGGCTTCATGTATGGTAGACAAATACATCCAGGGCTTCATGTATGGTAGACAAACACATCCAGGGCTTCATGTATGGTAGACAAACATATCCAGGGCTTCATGTATGGTAGACAAATACATCCAGGGCTTCATGTATGGTAGACAAACACATCCAGGGCTTCATGTATGGTAGACAAACATATCCAGGGCTTCATGTATGGTAGACAAATACATCCAGGGCTTCATGTATGGTAGACAAACACATCCAGGGCTTCATGTATGGTAGACAAACATATCCAGGGCTTCATGTATGGTAGACAAATACATCCAGGGCTTCATGTATGGTAGACAAACACATCCAGGGCTTCATGTATGGTAGACAAACATATCCAGGGCTTCATGTATGGTAGACAAATACATCCAGGGCTTCATGTATGGTAGACAAACACATCCAGGGCTTCATGTATGGTAGACAAACATATCCAGGGCTTCATGTATGGTAGACAAATACATCCAGGGCTTCATGTATGGTAGACAAACACATCCAGGGCTTCATGTATGGTAGACAAACATATCCAGGGCTTCATGTATGGTAGACAAATACATCCAGGGCTTCATGTATGGTAGACAAACACATCCAGGGCTTCATGTATGGTAGACAAACATATCCAGGGCTTCATGTATGGTAGACAAATACATCCAGGGCTTCATGTATGGTAGACAAACACATCCAGGGCTTCATGTATGGTAGACAAACATATCCAGGGCTTCATGTATGGTAGACAAATACATCCAGGGCTTCATGTATGGTAGACAAACACATCCAGGGCTTCATGTATGGTAGACAAACATATCCAGGGCTTCATGTATGGTAGACAAATACATCCAGGGCTTCATGTATGGTAGACAAACACATCCAGGGCTTCATGTATGGTAGACAAACATATCCAGGGCTTCATGTATGGTAGACAAATACATCCAGGGCTTCATGTATGGTAGACAAACACATCCAGGGCTTCATGTATGGTAGACAAACATATCCAGGGCTTCATGTATGGTAGACAAATACATCCAGGGCTTCATGTATGGTAGACAAACACATCCAGGGCTTCATGTATGGTAGACAAACATATCCAGGGCTTCATGTATGGTAGACAAATACATCCAGGGCTTCATGTATGGTAGACAAACACATCCAGGGCTTCATGTATGGTAGACAAACATATCCAGGGCTTCATGTATGGTAGACAAATACATCCAGGGCTTCATGTATGGTAGACAAACACATCCAGGGCTTCATGTATGGTAGACAAACATATCCAGGGCTTCATGTA